CCCCAAAACCCCAAAACCCCAAAACCCCATGATGCTTAGAATAAATAAATTTTTTGAACACAAGAAATAGAAAAAATGAATTAGCGTAATAACAAAATATTTGATGGGTATAATCATTAGATAAATTAAGTAAGTATCGTCAATCTAATAAAATTTCGGTTGGTCTTATAGTCTAGGGATCACCTTAGAACTCGTGTTCATCATCTGTAATTTGATACTACTTTTTTTCATTAGAAGATGTGAGCATATTTCTCTTTTATACCTGAAGCTTTTTAGAAGTCTCTTGATTAACCTTGAAAGTCTGAAATAATTCATCATCTTAATAGAAGTAAAGTTTATAGTTCTTCTGCTGTTTTTTCTTGTCCATAATTGATATTTTCTGACTAAAACCAAATGATAAAGTACTGTTTGATCTGCTTTTAATTAAAAATTTTAACTTATAATTACAAGTATTATCTTATAAATAAAGACGTAATAGAAATATTGAGACTATTGATTAGATTGGATTTACCTCATAGTCTTAGTATTATAATCATCAATCTCAATTTAAATGGGAAACTATTGGCACGGAATATCTAATGAGCAATTACACTCTGCTGAATTAGCTTTGCTTCGCAGAGGTGGACTCACACATGATTAGATAAGGATACAAGATGTCAAGATCCCAGTGCTTGCTTATTAGTATAGGAAAGGTTAGGACTATGAACATTTATATGATGAGGCTGAGAATTTCATTCATCATATTGAAATAGACATCAGAGATGAAGATGGAACTAATCAAGATTAAGGAAAGAACCTAAAGAAACCAACATTTATTCTCTTGCATGGATATGGTGCTGGAGGAGCGATTTTTTATAAGATGATAAAAGATCTAGGGAAGTATTTTAGACTATTTGTAGTTGATCTGTATGGAATGGGATCATCAGGAAGGCCTTAATTCCCTTTATAGGAAGCATGTTAAAGTGTTTAAGAGGCAGAACAGTTTTTTATAGAAGCTTTACAATATTGGATCGTATAAGTTGGCATATAAGAGAAGTACTATCTTGCAGGTCATAGCTTTGGAGGGTAGGTTTAATCAAATTCTTATTGAATATAGATATATAGCAGCAGCTTATGCTCTCTAATACCCTCATGATATAGAGAAAGTCTTTTTGATCTCACCAATTGGAATGCCTGAAAAACCTGATGAATATGGCTCTCAACATTTTGTGAGAAACTTTGACAAAATGGCACCTTCGTTGGCTGCTAGGCTGATATATCAAATGTGGCAAAGAAATTATACTCCGTTCCACGTTCTAAGGTGGAGTGGATAACTTGGTACCAAAAGATTCCTAAAATCGTACATGTCGACCAGGCTTAAAAAGGTATCTCAGTAAGAAGAAGCCTAGGAGATTAGTCATTACTTGCATCAGATATTCCTCAGACCTGCTTGTGGAGAGTATGCACTAAACTGCATTTTATAAGTAGGTGCGTTTGCTAGATAGCCTCTTATATACAGATTGCCTACATTCAATGAAATAGAAAATGCCCCTAAAGTAGTATTTATATATGGTGATACAGATTGGACAGATCCCTCTCATGCAATGATGCTCTTGTAAAGTGAATATTAGGGATTAAAAAATGCAGAATTACACATAGTCGAGGGCTCAGGACATCATCTTTATGCTGATAATCCTGCCAGTTTAATCTCCAAAATTTTGATTGAAGCATTTGACAATAGAAAAGCTGAAAATTATCTAAAAGTGAAAGAAATTGAATTAAATGGGATATTAGAAGGTGAACCAGTAGATATTGATCAAATTGAAGAGTAACTTTTACTTCACTAACATTAATCTTGATTTAATAATCCTTTCTACCTATTTTACTAGTTGACACTGCTTTGCGGGGTTTTGGGGTTTTGGGGTTTTGGGG